AATTTATTCTTCTTCCTCTGAAAGAGAACGCTGATTAAATCTTAGGTGGGCTATGGCCAGCCCCCAAGCTACCACGTTTTGCAAACTCTATAAATACTAGTCAATGTGATATAAGCTGATGTGTCATACAACTTCCAAGATGTGTCAAAGTAAGGGCAGGGGGAAGTGCATTTCCCATTTACTGACTGGAATTCAGAAGTCATAACTGGAAATTAGGCAGCCATCTTAGTCTATGAGGAAGAAGCCACATCCTGAGAATGGCAGAGCAGCAAAATAGAAGGAATCAGGATCTCCAACACCAAGGAGAACCATATCTGCTCTGGAACACCTACTTCTAGATCATTTTTACATGAGAGAAAAATAAAATGCAATAAGATACTGTTGTGTCTTCTGATACACACATCTGAGCCTAATCCTAAAATCTCAGCTCTACCCTTAGAGTTCCTGATTCAGTAGGTCTGGGGATAGGGCCTTATAATTTCCAGTTCTAACTGGTTCCCAGGTGATGTTAATGCAGCCGGGCAGGGGACGCTACTTGAAGAACCATTGCACTAATGGAGGTAATAACTTAGTGGTTTCAAGCTGTGCTTCATATTAGAATCATTGGAAGGGAGGAAAGCTTTAACACACACACACCCCTAAGGGTAAAACACACACACACACACACACACACACACACACACACACACACACACACACACCAGGGAAATTTCAGAACCACTGCACTAAAAGAGATAATAGCTTAGTGTTTTTCAAGCTGTGCTTCACATTACGAAGAGAGAAAGGCTTTAAACACATACACACACACACACACACACACACACACCCCACCACACACACACACACACACACACACACACACCCACCCACCCACCAAGGCTAATAGGCTAATTTCAGAAACTCTAACTGGTCTCGGCTGGGACAGATGATTCTAAGGTGTAGAAGAAATGCTGTAACTCTTTCCTGACTTACTGAAACAATAGTAATGTGAAGGAAATACTTGTGTTTCCCCACAGAGGAGGGTTGATATTTAGAAAGCAGCTCTTCATGGCCCAGAACTTGAAGACAAAAGACTGGATTTAAGTCCCTCATCTTAGTTATGAGGACCTAGAACAATGTAGCAGCTCCGGACCTTGGTTACATTATTTGCGAAATGGTGATGAAAATATTTACAACATTGGGTTTTTGTGTAGATTATATGATGTAGGTGAAAGTACATTATAAACTCAAATTATTACACAGAATAAGGGAGGCCCAGCTGATTTTTTATGGAGAATCTGAGTTAGTTTAGCCCTAGGACTGAACTGAACAAACAGAAAAAGTAGGAGAAAAACAGTAGAGAACATAAGAAATAACATAGGACTTATCTGTGACACCCTGCCGGAGGACAGGAATATATGGTAGGATCAGCCATACCTCCTGTGACAGGTGCTGCTCCCTTGTCCTTTTCTTGACTTATTATTGTGATTATATTTTCAACAGGTGTTCCTAGTCTGAAATAACTCCTCTAGGTGATATTCCTGGCCTGAGGCACACAGACCTTGTCTTTATAGAAGCAGGTGTTAAAAAATGGATATTCCAGCGATTAGGATCATTTTACTGCCATCATTAACCACGGCCTGAAATCTCCAGTCTCCGCAGTGGTTCCCAAGTGACTGTTTTATATTTAGGTGTTTGGTTGTGGATGTACGAGAGGTCAGAAACTGACCCTGACACTTGTACTTTCAAGATAAAGAACACCTCGCAAAGGGGAATTTAGATCAGGGCCTCAGGTAGCAGACTGAATTTGGACTTTATTCTGTAGCATGTATAAGTCACTGGTTTTAATCCCAGAAATGACAAAGTGTGGCACTCTGGGAGTATCAGCCAGGGGCCTGTGTGTAATGGATTAGACTAAGGTGAGGCTGAAATCCAGATGACCAGCATAGAGGTTACTGAGGTAATACTGCAACAGAGTAGAAGCAATAGAAGTTAACGGGAAATAATAAATGCAAGAAACAGAGTGGATGAAAATGAACATTTGGTCATTCATAACTGTCCATTTCTTTTGGTAAATACTGGTAGCCTTCAATAACTAAAGATTAACCAGAGCTATCTTTCTCCTCCCTTGGTACTAGGTAGTGTCCTACAGTTAAAACAAGTCTCAGACTGAATGCTACTACACAAATATCTTAACAAATATCTTAGCAAGCAGACACAAAAACACAGTACTTTGTGGCAAAATATTAAACAAAAGTCTAGACTAACAGCCATTCTGAAGGGTGTCAGTCTGCTACACTCAGCAGATTTCTACTCCACAGTTATGCAAAGAGGTGCTTGTATAATATTCTAGCCAGCCACATATCTTGAACATGTTGTTTCCACAATGAATTCTAACCCTTTATGCTAACTAAGGTACATCTAGTGCAGATTTACATGGTGATACTGGAAGCATCTGTGCATTCAGCTCTGCAGTGAACATTTTTGATTAGTCTTTCAAATGCTAATTACCCACCCTGGACTGTGCAGATTAACTTCCAAACATATATACATCTCACTGAAGTATTCTAAAGTATAAAGACAAGATAACAAGCATCAAAAATGGTTTTAAAGTCATAAGGCAGAAAGTCCATGTTAGTGGAAGATGATGAAAAAGCACTGATTTAGTGAGCTGGTCTTAATGCTAAGCAACAGAATGCAGCTGTAGCTAATTTAAGAAGAAAAGAAGTTTATTAGAGGATTCTAAGTAACTCAAAGGATTGCTGGTTACATGGCCAGAAACTATCTCTGGCTGTTACCGGTGGAGGGTGTCAAGGTTCTTGTCAACGTTCTTGGCATCTTGAACAGGGAACTGGAAAAAATGCACAAAGCAAGGAAGGAATGAAGCAACAAAAGCAGAGATTTATTGAAAATGAAAGTACACTCCACAGGGTATGAACAACCAAAGCAGGCTTAAGACCCTGACTGCCAGGTTACAGAATTTTGGGGGGTTTAAATACCCTCTAGAGGTTTCCCATTGGCCAGTTGGTGTACATCCCACGCAAATAAAGTAGTGGCCCACAGTCTGATAGCTGAAAACAACCAATCAGAGCCTGAAGGAAAGTTACACCCTATGCAAACATCTGACTGGTTGTGGAAAGCAACCAATCAGAGGTACTTTAAATTTTCTGTCTGCCACCCAGAAAAGGGTGGTGGGAGGGAGGACGCGGGTGCTTTTGTTACTTAGATGTGGAAAGTTGGGGCTTTCCTTTTGATTTACTTCTAGGAAGTCAGGATGAATTGGCCTTAGGGTCCTTGCTTCCAGACCCTATTCCCCTGCCTCATGGGTATAGTACAGAGTCTGTCACAGGCTACCCAGGAATATACACAAAGACTGTAAACAGGCTACAGAACAGATTGGGAAAGGGCTCTGGGGTTGTGGCCCTCACCAAGCATAGGCATCCTGCATATCTGACGTTCACTACTGCCCCAGAAGCTTACCTTGCTATACTCCTACAGGTGACCTGGGAGTTTAGCTTTCTGTACCTGCTTTTTTGACTCACTGGCTTTCCAGCTGGTACACGTGATTGGTTAAACAAGCGTTCAGCATTTCAGCTGCAGCCATTAGACTCTTTTTTTTTTTTTAACTTTTTTTTAAATTGCGTTTTAGGTTTTGGGGTACATGTGAAGAACATGCAAGATTGTTGCATAGGTACACACATGGCAGTGTGATTTGCTGCCTTCCTTCCCTTCACCTATATCTGGCATTTCTCCCCATGCTATCTCTCCCCACCTCCCCACCCCCCTGTCCCTCCCACAATTCCCCCCCAAGAGACCCCAGTGTGTAGTGCTCCTCTCCTTGTGTCCATGTGTTCTCATTGTTCAACATTAAGGTGGGGAATTCTCCAAATACGGAAGGGGATTCAAATGGGGAGGATAATAAATATATGTAAATGTCCATTAAAGGCAAGTTGAATTGGAAGTGATGACAACATATTTGAGTAGAAACATCTAGCAGGTAGTTGGAAATGTGACACTGGTGTTCCCCAGAGAACTAGTTACAGATTTGGGAATTGAGTAGTGATTGCTTTAAGGATTAGGAGTCTAGAGAGAATCTAACTCAAAATTTTCATCTACATATGCAGAATCTCAATGAGAGTGGTTCAACGAAAATTAGGAAATTCACTCTACTACGGAAAATAGGAAAAATGTATAGATAATACATGCAAAACAAGTGGGAGGAGAGAGCTAGGGATCGTAGAGCCTATTGCACATTTTTATTTTATAAATACTTAAGTGTCAACTATGTGTCAGGGACTACGCTAAGGTTATTTAATGTTGAGCAAAACTTGACATGTCCCTGCATTTGAGGAACTGAAAGGCTCTGAAGGCGGACTTAAGGAGCTTGGGGCTTAGCTGGTTACAAAGCCGTATATTATGCCATATATATTAAAGGGCAGCAACGCCTCCCGCAGTATTTACAGCCCAAGCGTGGCAGGCCTGTCTGTCCTGTTCCCGTTCGGTCCGGACCCAGACGGTGGCCTAGATGCTTGATGGGCACTGTCAGCCTGATCTTTGATGCTCTTCCCGCTGTCTGTTCTCAGTCGCTGATTCCAGGTCCTAGGAGACGACGCTGGCTCAAGGAAGGCAGGCGCCTTAGGTGGGGCAGTTGACACTCGCGCAGCGCCTTGCCCACCTGGGTGCGCGGCGGCGCGGCGGGTTTGGGCGGGGAAGGGGCCGGGCCTTGGTGAGGACGCGCGCCGCGCAGTTTGACCCCGGCGGCGTTCCGTACCGTCGCGGATTTCAGCGGTGGAAACATGGCGGCCGCGGCCGGGCCGGCAACGGAGAAACTTTCCACCGAGATTGGCCTGTATTAGCGCGTGTGGCCTCGGGTCCTCGTTCCCAAAGGCGTGCCGCCTCCCTGTTCTCAGTCGCAAGCTCAAGCCTTGTCTGCCCTCCTTCTTTTTGGTTTGGTTTTGGAACTGACTCCGAGGGTTGGGAGAGCGTTGGTGGCGACGGCCAAGTCAGGTAGGGAGAAACGGGTGGACGGCAGGGCGGCGAGATCTGGGCACTGGCACCGCCAGCTTGGTCCGGACCTCAAGCTCCGCCCAGCCGGCCTCCCGGGGCAGGGGTAGGTTACCTGCCCCTGGAGGAGTTGACAGTGGAGGTTGGAGATTGGAGAGTGTGGGAGCGCCTCTCCGTATCTTGCCAGGGTTCCCCCCAACTGGACGCCACGTTGTGGTCGCGTTCTCCCTAAGTAGAGAACAGCCAAGCTCCTTGTTGGACCTCCCACATTTCACTAGAAGGAGGCCGAAAGGGAGAGAAATTGCTATGGCTGCTCAATAGCCCAGGACTTTAATATTCGAGATGCCATTTTCCTTGTATGAGATGGCCCAAAGTGTTATCAGTAACTCTGAACAGAAGCACTGTTATTCTCCGACTCTGTTTTTTCGGTGTAGTTCTTTCAGCATTGACACTTCTAGATGGGACAGAAAGTTTGAGTGAAAGATAATGCAAGTGATACGGTATGCCTCAAGCCATCCCCTAGAGGTAGGACGTGGAGAGAGAACTGGTTTGGAAGAATTTGAGTGAATTAAGACAGAGTAAAGCTGAAAGAGAAACCAAACATTCATGGAATCTCCCTTAGTTCTACTACTTACTAGCTGTGGGATATTAGCCAGGTTCTGTATTCTCTTTACGTATTAATAAGTGTCCAATGGCGACCACTGTTATTAAATGTAGTTATTTCTATATTAGTCTTTATTTTTCAACATTTATTTATTGAATGCCTACTTAATGCCGGAGTTTTGCTAGTCACTGGGTGTACAGTATTGAAGACAAACCTTCAGAGACCTTTTGATCTAGTGGGAAATGGCAGACATTGAATAAGTGATGGTATGTAACAGAGAAAGTACCGGGGTCATGTAATAAGGGAGCCAGAGGTAATCTCTTAAGGAAATGATTTATCTGAGACCTGAAGAGTTGGAGTAAGTCAGATGTGAGCACCGGGGTGGGGCCAGGAGGAGGGAAAGAGTGCACCTGACAAGGGAATAGCATTTGTGCGGTTTGTATTTGAAAGGTCAATAAGGTTGGAAAACAAAGTGTGAGAGGAAGAGTGGTAACAGATAAGGCAGGAGAGTTATTCAGGCCCAACAAGGAGTGCCTTATAAGGCATTGTAAGGAGTTTGGGTTTTATCGCCAAGGGCGATGGAACAAACACCATTGGAGCATTTTACATAGTGGAGTGCAAAAGTTTGGTTTTAAAAATACACTTCTTAGAAAAGGGCAAGAGTGGATACAGGGAGATGTTCAACATGATGGTGGCCCAAATTGGGATGGCAACCCTGGGGACAAGAAGTAGAAACACTTAAAAGATGTTTAGGAAGAAGAATACACAGGACTTGGTGAGGATTAAATGTAGTTGATGACAGGAGGGTTAGAGTAGTATGTAGGGTTTTATGAAATACTCAGACTCTGGCAGTGATTAGTTAACTTTTCCCACATGCATACTGACGCTTCTATGCTCCATTTTAATCTACCTCTGGAGTAATTTTCCATTGAATCATTAGTGATGGCAAACCAATTGAAAAGGATTGTAATGTTTTTCTGTTATTCTCTAATTCAGGCTGTCTTTTAAAGAAGGTCAGGATGGGGAAAGACTTTGTAAATCAGCTGTTTGAAAACAATTATCTTCCATGTTGATTTTGGCCCGTAAGAAGGTAACTGCGTATATTGCATTATATGGATGCACTGGACTTTACTAATGTATTTTTCTACATATTTACATTTACTTTGTTTTCAAGTTTTTAACCCTGTTAACAGTGCAGAACAGAACTGGTGCTTATATTTCTATAGGTAGACTAATACCTGTGTGCAGTTAAGTAGACAGAGAATAATTGAAGACATAGAAATAAATGACATTGCTTAGAAAAAGCATATAGTGAGAGAAAAGCCTAGGGTTGGGTTGAACATCCAAAGGATGGGTTGAGAATGAAGAGCCTTCAAGGAGACTGAGGAGGGGAAACCAATGAATTAGGAAAAAATCTGGAGACTTAGTCTTTGGATGCCCATGAAAAGGAATGGTTTGGAAGGTAAGAAAAGTCAACAGTGTAAGTTTGTTTAAAGAATATACAGGATAGGGCTGGGCGTGGTGACTCACGCCTATAATCCTAGCACTTTGGGAGGCAGAGGCCGGTGGATCACCTGAGGTCAGGAGTTTGAGAACAGCCTGACCAACATGGACAAACCCCATCTCTACTAAAAATCCAAAATAGTCTGGCATGGTGGTGCATTCCTGTAATCCCAGCTACTCAGGAGGCTGAGTTAGGAGAATTGCTTGAACCCAGGAAGCGGAGGTTGCGGTGAGCCAAGATCACACCATTGCACTCCAGCCTGGGCAACAAGGGTGAAACTCTGTTTCAAAAAAAAAAAAAAGAGGTCATTTCAACACTTGGCAGAGCAGTCCTGTGGTGGGAAACACCATTTAGTGGTTTGAAAAGTGAGTGGGTAAGAAGTGAAGCAACCAAATATCAGCTGTCAAAAGGACGCAAGATTGAGCCTCCTAGAGGATATGGGGATGAGATGAGCAAGGATTGTTTTTGTTTTGTTTCTTTACTTTTTTGGTATTGTTTTTAAAAGAAAGAGGTTTATAAATGTTTAAATACTAATGGATAAAAGAAAAGTGAGAGTTTTCAGAGAGAGGAGAGAGTCTGATGTTCTGGAAGAGGCAGACAGAAACAGATGCACAATATGACTGAAAGGTTTAGCCTTAGAGAAGCAAGAGCCTTCTTTACTTATATTTGGAGATGTAAATAGAGGTGGGTTTCTGGGCTTGGAAACTCAAGGGAACTCCCTTTTAATGACTCTCCAGGAGGCAGAGTTACCTGGTGAGAATGCAGTAGGAAGAAGTAGGGTATCAGAGTTTGAGGAGAGGGAATAGAGGTTTGAATTGTCACAAGAATGGGAAAGAATGTTGACCAAGGAAGGATGTCCCATGAATTTAGAGTGGCACCATTTAACCTACTGTGTGATTTTTTTTTTTTTTCTCCCGTCCAGCAGTGTTAAGTAGTCTGAGCCCAGATTGTATCATCAGCTCTTTGAGGATATAGTCTAACATATTTGTTGGATTATTATATAACACACAATGGTGAATTTAAAAAAAAAACCTCAGTGATTTTGTCAGTTTCTCACACTCAAGTTAAAAAGATAACCCAAAATATACCAAAGGAAGACATTTTCTTTAAAATTATGTGGTACCTTAAGACATGAGTGATTAAAAATGTAGTTGGAATTAAGGAAAATCAGTTGGAATACTTAAATTTGTAAAAAAAAAAAAAAATATGCTTGTTGAACATACAGAAGTAGAATAAG